GCCGTCTGTCAGCGTATGCTGCTGGCAGAGGAACCCAGAGTGACTTGGGTCAAGAGGAGGGATCGAGGTCGGCGCAAGCACTTACGGTGGTCGGCCAAGAAGCCAATGTGCATAAAGATGGGCTTGTTCTCGGCCGTTGCTCGAGTCAGCGTGTTGGCGTCGAGCAGCTGCCATGCCACAGGAGTGTCGGCATGTTGGCGCACGTACGGACTGTCGCTCTCACCGGCGCGGTTCTGGAGTCTTGCGAAGCCTGGTGCGCGTGACTGCGCAGTGGACTGGAAGGCAGCCGAGAGACCCGACCCTTGGGCTACATTGCCGCTTGGCCGCTGCTTCTGCTGCTGCTGTAACTGTGCGCTCATCATCTTTACGGTTCTGGGTCGAGATGAGCCGCGATGGTGTCAGTGCTGGCTCACTGGGACGGTGAAGTAAAGTTGGAATAAGTCGGGGAAATCTGCGCTAGTGCTCCAGTGCCCCGCCTGCTGCCTGCGATGCAATTGTTATGCGATACGCGGCGCTGTTGAGGGACTGCGGGGTGCCTGTGCCTAGGAGGATCCCTGTGGAAATGAGCCTAGAACCTGAACGCTCGGGCTAGTGTGTTCGGTCGGATGGGAAGCAGAGACAAGATAGGTATAGTTATACGCGCATGACCCTGTCGAGAAGCCCAAGTTGTCCGCGAAAACTTAACCATTCACGGGCTCTGGAAGAGGGGGAAAGAGTGAGTGCCAGACACGCAGCACCAGAGGGCAGGCAGATGGCGGGATGAAAGCCAGCCCCAGGTGAAGCAAGCCCCCACCTGAAAGAACGGTCACTCTCTCCATGCTTATCGCGCTATCTCGGCAGAAGCCGCCCCGTTGAGCGACAGGTTGATTTGATCTTATGCCGATCCCATCTTTGGTGTGATCAGGTGACAAATGAGGACCCAATAAACCTAAACCCCGCCATGAGAGAAGCACAGATGAAATACAGTTGCTTTTTAGAAGTATTAATAACCTTTTTTACCCTCCAAGAACCGTTGGGGTTAAAACGGTTTATCGCGCCTTGTGGCGGGAGATGTGTGTCTTGTGTGAGAATTCCCAATCGGGCTAGACGCTGTATGTTTGTTTTCTATGAATAACAAAGAGCCCCTGGCAACACCAGATCCTGACCTAGCATCCGTCTAAACGCACCAACCCTCTACGTCGAAAGAAAATACATAAAATACATTCCTATAATAAACACAAATCTATGCAGACGCTTCCATTAAAAATTTGCTTTTCTTGTTCATCACCCCACTTTCGTCTTGGTATATTCCCATTCTTCAGCTGTTTTCACTGCCAGAATCCAACAACACAAATAACCAAGGCCATTCTGGTGCTGTAATTGCCAGAATACTTAAGGGGGAGCAATCAGAGACCGGCTCTTTCGTTTTTGACCAGGAAAGGACTCGTGCCACTCACTCGGAGGTGAGCGGCGGCAGCTACACCGTCATGGGAAGGGTGCCCAGTCCAAGCTGGGAGCGGTACGATTTGTACAGAGCATGGTCCAGGTCCTCGCCTTGCCAGTAACCAGTCTCTCGAAAGTATGACTTGACACTGAAGTCGTTCCATTCAGGCTTTCTGTTTCTGCTGCCGCTGCCGACTCGGGGCTGAGGCTGGGCAGCGGCAGGGCGGCCATAATCTATCTTGAGGATCGAGATATCCACGACCTGGTCGTTGTGTGGAAAAGGTAGACGGATTTTGCCTTCTGCTCTAGTCTTGCAAGCGGCGAAGACGAAATGCCCCGATTGGAAGTTTTGAAGATCCAGAATGATCCTCCTCGTCTTCGTTTCTCGACACACGTACTGGAAATAAACAGTCTCACCGGGGATTTCTGGTTTGGGCGCTAATGCCGATGCTCGTACTGATGCAGCTGCAAATGTTGATGTGGATGCCGATGCCGGTTGCTGAAGAAGTTCTGATTCCGGTATCAAAGCTGATGCCGATGCCGGTGCCGATGCCGGTGCCGGCGCTGGTGCGGGTGCGGGTGCGGGTGCGGGTGCTGCTGCTGCTGCTGAGCCCCCTGATCCAAGTGCCCCTGGCCCATTGTTCTGGCTGTCCATGTTCTGCCAGTGCCGCAAGTGAGATCGGATTGAGTCTTGGGAGAGAGAAAGCATCATTATGCCATCCACCTCACCCAGATGAAAGACAGCATACGCAACTTCCGGGCTGGATGGCAGTGGCGACTCGACCTCAAGGCCCATGTGTGTATCTTCCCACGGCCACCTGTCGGTTGTAGGCCCGCAGGCGACTATGTAACGCCCTCTCAAGTCCGCCACCGCCAATGGAGCAGCCATACCTTGGACTTCTTGTCCTCTCCGCAGTGCTTTATTGACGTTGTTAGTTTTCTTCTGCCACTGGAGTTTCTGTATCTCAATCTGCTTGTGCTTAGCATTATATTTCTTTTCCATCTGCCCGAATACGTGCCGAGTTACAGCGGCATTTTTGCTGGAGATGCAGTAGAACGAGACACGCCCGTTAGGCAAATCTTCCTTGCTGACCAATTTAGGGAGCGGTTGAACCTTCTCCTGGACAGCAAGGTAATGCATGCAACACACCTCGTCGTCGTCCGAAACGAAGGCGATGTCAGAAGATCCAGTTGCTTTCGGAAAAGGTCCAACCTGAATCGACCGCTCCCTAAACAGAGCTTCCAGGATTTGCTTACAATTGGGGCCCCACTTATGCTCCCAAGCGATGATATTCCGCGAGGGTGTGACAACGAAGAGGGCGAGGCCTCGAGTTGCCGCCACGGCATTTTGGAGAGCGTTCAGGAAGCGAATTTCCCCCAGAATCATGTAACCAAGAGGCACTTTCTCGGGAGCAGCGCCACCATCTAGATTCTGGAAGTGTTCTTGGATGAACCTGTAAGGATGCGTGTTGGCTTTATCCGTTTGGTTGACTGCCTCCTTGTATCGCTTTTCGTATGCGTAACAGAGGTTGAGATGGGATTGCCAGATAAGCGGGTTCGCGACGTCCATAACAGCCCGGAACAGAGCCCCGACTACATCAGTCGGCGGAACTGGCTTGCCGTAAAGGCGTAGTTGAGCCTCAGCCCACATCGCCGACAGTTTGTAGTTTTGAGGGAACATGCGGTGATTGGGGTTAAACATTATTGTCAGTTGTTGGATACTCTCGCGGGGGATGCCGTTGTAGAACCACACTTGCCCATTCTCGCCGTCGCCGTATGTGCTGACGTAGGAGAAGCCCCCGCAGCGACCCAAGGGCGGTATGGATGGTAGCAGCCCAAAGTCCGCGAATGGTACCAAGGGCGGTAGCGATGTCCTATTCGAATTCATTCCCTCCAGAACTCTCATTTGCAGCGCCTGCATGGCCTCGTCTGACAACAACCTCAGGTCCAACCCAGGATTCATCACTACGAGAGGTGTTGATTGTGCTGAGCGGGCCGGTGATCAATGGGAAAACACAAAAGGTTGCGGGCGCGGTGCGGAAAAGTCGGTTGGAAAGCGATAATCAGACTAAAAAGAATGTGAGATAGAACGAGAAACAAGTCGGGCGAGACGAAGGGTCTAGAAAGAACTCGCGCCTTGTTGATTTTCTAGATTTCGGCGGTTTCCTGGTAATTATGCATTCATAACGGGAGGCTCTGTGGCATACCAAGCTGGAGAAACTTTGTGAATGTTGGATGGGTCAACGGCAGAAAATGATCGTGAACCTGAATTCAGCCAAACTTACCCACGCCACCTGGAAGCGTGTCTTCCCCACGACATGAACCGTATTCCTCCAGTGTGCAGGGCTGAAAACAACGTAGCAGAATGTGGAAGTGGACCTCTTACCTGCGGCGGTTTAAGGTTAACTTGGTGAAGAGGGTGCTTTGCAAGCGTGAGGGTGGTGACTACCTCCCTAATTCAGTCATACACCAGCCTGCCCGAGGCGGGAAAGATGCAGCCAAAAACGCCGGCGTAACTTCCGTTCTAGACATCTTGGGGGTTTGTCAAGTGCATCAACACGTTTTATTCATTTCAAAACGAAGAAACGTGAGAATATTTTGAGTAAGGCTCTGAAGTTTGGGCCTCGAAGGGTTCTTTTCCATGAGACCTAACCCTCCACTCTGAACACCATTGGCAACTGTGTTCCAAGCCGCACAATACAGTTGAGTTTGCGTGCGTACATCCTTGAAAGCCATCCCTCTGCTAAGAACATAACCTTAAACTCCATCTCACTCGGTCTGAGATCATCAACGATCTCAAACCTCCATATAAGTGCCTCTGGGAGACCACCAAGCCGTGCGGCATGTCACTTTGTCAAATCAGCCATGGAAATCCACGGCTTTCTTAAAAGCCCCTGCATAAGTAGGTCCGAGTCTGAACGAGATCACAAACGGCACAATTTACATGAGAATTGTGAAGTTTGGTCCAACAAATGCGGCCATCATTACATAGTAACTGTCACGAGTCCCAGGTATTTATGAAGAACAGATTGTCTCATCCTTCACCGACATAGGAAATTAAGCTCTGGATAGTTATCATGGCTGAGAATGGTCCTCAAATATACCTCTTTCGCACGAACCATAATATGCTAGAAAAGGGGGTTTTACATATAAAGTTGACTAAGTTGTCCCGAGATATATAAACCTGTTGGATGATGGTGGCGCACGGATGCTGTCATACGAGCAAGCAGACTTTAACTTCTACTTCTTAAAGTTGACTTCATCCAAAAACAGGAACAGATCAGTAAACCCAACTCCATGTACCTCAGTCAAACCTAAAACCCCTCCTCCCCATTAGGGTCCCCGGCAGCTCGATGAATGGAGAAACAAAGGAAGAAGACACTGAAAGTTTTAAAAACGTTGGGAAAATAAAAAACGTAGCAAAAAGGAGGCGGACCCGAAGGACTGGGTATTTATTTGCATTGCGACCAGAGGGAATCGAACCCCCCCCTCATCCTATCATCGCCCGATAGGGATCGGGTTGGAAGGGATGAATCCTAACCACTAGACCATAGACGCTAGACAGAAAGATTGAACATTGGACGGGCTGGGAATCGAACCCAGGACCTTTCGCATCAGAGAACCGAACTCCATGAGAGAGATGAGATGCTAAGCGAACGCTCTACCAACTGAGCCACACGCCCTATGCCTGTTTGTGGAGTTTGTTGAGGGACATTTGCTATCAAGTGTGTATGGGAATGGATGGAGTTGGGGGTGTGGGTGGATCAGGGGCTGAGACGGGGACTGACTTGGCGTGGGGTGGAGTTTGGTTTGATGAGAGACAAGGTTCTGGGTTTGGGAGTTTTGGGCTTTTCTAGACTTTCTTCTGTGCATGGACGCGGTGGAATGAATTGATGCTGCCAGGGGGAAGAGGTGGGTATGGATATTCCTGTTTAGCCTATATGGACCGAATTATGAAGTGTGATATACTGCATATATTGATGCAGGTTCACTTTATTTTGGCTTCGAGTGCAATGATTTGCCTGTTGCCTATGTCTAACTAGATCGCAGCAACAAGCTGGGGGGGGAGGAAGGGGTGGTGGGAGATTTTTGGTGGCGTAAGGGGTGACAACGAACCATCTTACTTTCACGTGGAAGTGTAAAAAGTTTCATTTTATCTTGACATCCACCGAGTTTATTCTTCATCTCACTGATCAAAGGCAAGAGGGGAAGCTTAAGTCTTCTTGGAAGGCAGATCTAACGTCCACTTTCCCAATAGGAGCAAAACAGGCACAGTCAAGTGGCTTCTAATTGTGGATAAAAACTGAACAGGCTGGACGATTCGAGGTAAGAAAACACTTGCTAGTTGGTCTGGACTGGGCAAGTGTCTGGAAAGTATCCACATCAACCGCCGGGCCTTCTCCTGTTTGGAAAATGGAGTTTTTGGATAGCTCAGAAAAATAAAGAAAACGAATTCAGCCAAATTAAACTTCCCAGTAAACTGGTATTGCACACCGAGGCCACTGCCGTTTTTCTTGACGATCTGTTCTCTCTTAGACATGAAATTCTTTGTGATACTTAAGAATGCCAGTGAGATAGTTCATGATGACTACATAACACAGAAAATGGAAGTGCTACATTCATTAGGACATAAGGGGCATGCTCACTACCAAGACCAGTTATTAGGTAGAGGTACAATTTCTCGTTGCTAATAGTAGACAAACTCAAAGGACTCAGCTATCCAACATTCTTTACTTAGATAACTTGAGTTGAGAGTAACTGACTTATGGAACGCTGTCGATTGATTGTGGTTGCTGCCTTGGAATAACTTCAAAAACTTGATTCATGAAATAGGGCTGGCTTGAGAGTTATTTCACTTATATAGGTATGCTCTAGTCCTCTGAGGAGGAATTAATCCACTTGAGACTCGTAGTTTGCAACAAAAAGAAAGAGATCTGATGCAAATACCTTCTTCTCTTTTGAATGCCAATTTTTTCTATGTGAAGGAATGAAAAAAAAAAGACAAAAAAGCTCAGGTGGTTTGTTAGCTCGAGATCCTTCTTCGGGGGGTTACCCCCAACTCGGGATCGAACTCGCCACCTTACCAAAAACCGGCTAGCGGTTTTTCTAGTTGACAGTGTCGGGCTGAGACTCGCTGCGCCAACGTCCTCTCGTATTGGGCGATACCCCCCCGGCTGAGTTCAACTTGGCAGCTCGACCGGTTACCTACCTTATACACCCAAATACGGACACTTAGGTAGCCAGATTCAAACCTAAACCGGCTTCCAAGCCCTCTTTACCCGAGGTTAAGGTCTGTTGATTGAGCAAGGACTCTTTAAACCGAGGCTTCGTAAGCTATGACAACTTGGTACTAACTTGACGTTTTTATTATTTGCTCAGGATTGGAGCAGTTCTATGTCAGATGAAAAGATCAACTCGATGAAGCATAGACGGCCTCCAGGATCTTTCTTATCGCGTGTAACATCTTCGGTTACTAGACTCGCTGGCACAGACACACCCTCTCTATCTCTTCCCAATGTCTCCATGGGGTGAAAACTAAGAACCACCTAGCACGGCTGGGCTTATTGTTACGGAACGTGGTTATTTCTCTCTAATGTCTCTAGCAAGCAGGTCGTACTCATCGTCACGGAATGTGGTTTAATACCTATATAGGTAATATCAACCTATCTATCGTGAGAAACCAGGGTAATGCCAAGGTTGATGACGCTAGAAGCGTAAAAAGTCCCAATAGAAGAAACGACGACGACATCCCACCACAAACAGGTGGCGATAAGTCTGATAACCCCGCCCAATACAAAGCCAGACAATGGAAGGCAAAAGAAGCGAATAGTATCCTACACACAGGATGACCAGACTGTCGAGGAGACCAGACCAGTTAAGGACCTTTGCCCGAAAGAAAACACACACATAGAAGAGAAGAGAAACACCAATGCCATCCCGACTACGTTTTGGACCTTCTGTCCGAATCACCCAATGAAAGAAGAGAGAGAAATATGCATGTTTTTCCTTTCTGCCCCTGATCCGGTTGTTATCCTTCATACGGTCGTGATTGATGATATCGCGTCATGAGCTGCTGAAGATAAACGGGTAGGGGGCAACTTGACTCCATGGTTCCCATATAAATAACGATGCTGCCCGGAAAAAAAAAGGGCACCACCCAATTCTCTCATGTCTAAGAGAGCCAGAGGAAGAAAAGTGTGCAAGAAAGGAAGAAGATCCGAGGGGGAAAAGACCACCCCGCGGTTACATAACCATACTCTACACGAAGTGAAGGCGCGATAAAAACTCGCTGATCGGAAGAATCGAATATGCCGCACGTTCGTCTAGCGATGTTATGTTGTGTGGGGGGTGATCAGTGGCCCAGGACGGTCGGCTGGCCAAGAGGAGGTAGTACGTTTTCACCGTACCCGCCACCCATATTGCCTGTATGTACTTGTCAGCAAGCATATTAAAAGAAGGGCGGTGGGAATAATACGTACCAGCAGGGAAGTAGTTGCAGACGGTGTACCACCCGTCCATAGCCTTACTCAGATTGGTCCCCTTGGGGCAGAACTGAGTGGCACAGCCGATTTGCTGGGTACCCTTCCAAACCATTTGACTAAAGTGACCCCAGGCCTCGAAATCTTTCATGTCTGGGTTGGGCTTGCCATAATCCTGGGATGGGAAGATATGGAGCTCGCCATTGTACCAGCCATCGCCGATGCCTCCCGATGCGGCATGGGAAGCGTTGTCGTCCGCAGCATTTGTACCGGCATACATGGCAATGTTCTGACCGTAACCACCTCCGCCAGGGGACCTAAAACAGTCAGAGTCAATTCTTTCTTGGATTATATGGAAGAGAGAAGTACTTACAAGTCGTGCTTGAAGTCACAGGACTTTGCAACAGTTGCTGCATAGTCTGCGTAAGTTTGGCTCCATGTCACGGCAGGAACAGAGTGGTTGGCTCGATGGACGTTGTGATGGTAGAGGGCGGTGGATTGGTAGTCGTCGCCTGAAGGTGCCTGGGCGGCGGCCTCTTGGATCTTGGGAGCCTCAACGACAGGAGCGGCGGCCGGAGCCTCGGGAGCCTTGGCGACAGGAGACGGAACAACCACAGGAGCAGCGGTGGTGGGCTCAGGCGTTGGCTCAACCTTCGGCTCAGGAGTTGGCTCGGGAACGACAACAACCGGAGGGGTAGTGGGCGCAGCGGGAGCAACGGGAGAGCTGGAAACCACAGCCGGCTTAGGGCTAGGACGACGGTTTCCGAACATGGTGGGTGTGACGCCTTCAGTGACGGTAACGGTGACAAAATCGACCACGACCTTGGTCTCGACGAAAAGACGTCGTCCACGGAGAATGGGAGTGGCAGCCGCCAAGACGGCGCCAGAGGTGGCAAGGAAGATTGACAGCTTCATCTTGGCGAAATAGTCGGACTATTGTCTGGGCTTGTTGTCAGCTCTGAGGCCCGCTTCGAAGAATAAAACTAGTATCCAGGACTTAGATACCTTTTAGACTTGGATGTATCCTCAAGTACGGGTCTTCCAGGTGCGGATGTTGGAGGTTATGTAGTCAGGGCCAGCTGGATGGCAGCACTGCTGGTGATGAGATCCCTCAAGGATGTCGAAGGCCGATAGAGATCGTGTACTCAGGTGTGGTTAGAGAGTGTGGTTGGACAGCAGCCAGGCTGGTGGTGGAGGTGATCGAAATGACGTCCTGGCAAACACAAAGCCTCTGCGAAAGCGCCGGTCGGTAGAGGGAGTGGCGAGAAAGAGAAGAGACAACGAGAATAAGGTACTCGAAGGCTACGCCGATCAGGGTCCACGAAGTCTACGACAGCCACGAGCTAGAGGTTGCGGTTGCGGTCACGAGAGCGGGGCACAGCGGACAGCGTCAACGCCTTTTTGGGATTTCTCCTTTGAGATGATTTCTTTTTTTCTCGAAGGAACGGAAATGCCAGAGGGACACTGAGACAGTCGGGCGGGTTTAAGGAACGTGAGGTTGGCGAGTGGCCAAGAAAGGAGAGTAGTTGCTTGAAAAGCAGTGTGTAGGTGTAGACGTTTAAAGGAATGGACTGGAGTAAGACTCCAAAGGAATGAGTGTAAAGGGCGGGCGGGCGGTCGTGTGAGGTCGACGTCCACAGCCGGTGTATGCAGAAGGTTGAGGTGGTGGAAAAGAAGGCAAAAGGCGGAAAGAATGAAGGTCGGGTAGGTAGTCTTCAGCAGAGGGTCGGGCACTGCAGCAGTGGTCCACTGGTGGTGGTGCGAACCTGGGTTGCAGGTTGGGGTCCAGGTGATCCCTGCACCCTAGCAACAGCAAACAGCGCAGCGGTCAGAGGGGGGATGAATCCCAGCACTTTGGTCTCGTCTGTTTGACCCTTCAGACGTCACTCCAATCTTGATTATAAGTGTGCCCAGTGTGCCCAAAACGAGAGGAGTGGGGGCGTTAAATTAGCGATCGAGGGTGGATATTACGGGCAGGAACGGCAGGAACGGACGGGGCAGGGCGATTATTGGAGGGGGTTGATGCAGCTGTCCGAACTCAGTCAGGTTCAACAGGCCTTTTTGCTTTCCTCCCTGGGCAGATATTGACGGTTGACGATTGACGACTGAGGATTGGGGATTATTGGTGTCAATATTGCGCCCAAGCATGCCATTCAAGCAGGAAACAAGAGTTTCACTCTGGTATATATATCTGCGTATTGCGT